ATAGAAAATTGCACTGAAGGTGGTTGGCTCTGAGCCCAAAATGTTGCCCAGTGTCTCAAGCGCTATCAGTGATGTTTCCATGTGTGGACCTTGATTTTTCTCATATACCAATCCCATGAGAGGCAGAACAACATTCTACTGTACTGTATGTCACTGGATATCATGCTCATGTTCCCATGTTGGCCAAAGGGGGAAAAAGGGTGTTTGCAAGGGCCTGTAGACACAAAGAACACAGAACAGGTCCCCAGGAAAGGAGAGTCAGATTTTGTAGCTGTCTTAGAGGTATGAAATATTTTATTACCTACTAGTATGTAGATATTCTATAATTTCTTTGCTTACAAAATAAAAAGCAAAGACATATTATCATAATACCAAAAGAAATTCATCCGTATTTGAGATTTGCTATAATTCAAGCAAAAGGAAGGAAATTCAGGGTCAGAGATCACTCCCTCCCTACTGTCTGTCACAACAGGTTACCATCCTTAATTTTACCCAACTATGTCATATTGGAGGCTTGATCCTTAACTTTGAATTTTTTCTCTCTTGTGGAATTAAGCCAGAACCACAAAATATTTGAAAATGCAGGGCTTGATGGAATTGAATGTAGTTTTTCTCCATAAAAGTAAAACCAAACTGAAAGCATTAGCCCTTTTAAAAGGATGGTTTTAAAATTGTCTTTCACCCTTTTTCTTCATATTTATACTGGCTCTAGTTATTTGATTAAAACTGTAGGAAAGCTATTTTGAAAATATTATTTTTAAAAGACAAATAAGGAAATTTTGATTATTTTTTTTCAAATATATCCTCTCTTATTTTATAAATGCTCTCCAGATTTGGCTTGACATTATTACACATTTCAGGATTATCTGAAAGTTAACTCAAGTGATACTTTTCTTTGGCCCTGCTTTTTAGCATTTTGAGGTATCATTCTCAATTGATTTTAGTGTTCTCTTTAGAGATATTTGATATAAAATCACAGGCTTGAAGATCAAAAATACGTATGTACATATATACAAATGTACAAATATGTATACATACATATACTTATGCATATATATGTATACATATGTATATGTAGCCCACAGAAATTAATCATAAAAATGTGATATGTGTTCAACCAGCCAAATACAATAAACACATCATTCATTACTTTAAAATTCTATTGACTTTAGTGATAGCTTTTCCTGAATAACGAATGTCAGCTCTAGTCACAGTAAAACTTCAGAAGTTCCACAAAATATTTTAATAGAACTATGCCTAAATTCAAGAAAACTTCACAGAGGGAGGTTGCAGTGGCTGATATGGATGGAGGAGTTTTCATATCAATGAATATGGTGGAATCTGCCAGGTAAAATGTAATAATCCTCTGGGTGCTACTTCCCTCCCACTAATGTGTTGGACAGTTTAGATTAACACCATATGCCTGTTCATAGCATGGGTGGAAACCAATGTAAATAGAGAGAGAGAGAGATTCATTTCACAGCCCTGTTTTTCCTGCACTCCTGTCTCCAGGCTAGGGGCTGGTGACATGTACAGAATAATGGAAGAGAGAGAAAACAACCCCAGGAACAGGTCAAAGCATGAGAGGGAGGAAGAAGCATGGGCTAGAAAAAGAGAAGGAAAGGAAGGGAATTAGTTATAGACGAGCTCTTGCAGCTGTTTTCTGATAGACTGAGGCTTTCAATCTCTTCTGTATCCTCTTCATGTCCTCTTCCCAACTTCTCAACTTGTCTTTGCTGTCACATGGGGATTGTGCTTCTAAGGTTGAGACAGACTGCTCACCCACACCTCACCCTGTCCACTGTGCTTCTCCAATGTGGGCTAGCAGCAGTCCATGGCAATGATTTATTATAAAATAGGTGCAACTGAAGTTCTCTTTTCCTTTGGGAAATACTTGTAAATAGAGATCGCTGTGTAGCATCTGTAGTTTCCAAGTACCCATATGCAGGATAAATTAGTCAAAAAATTATTCCCTGACTCTGCATTTACACTGCAGTCTTCTTGGCAGAAAAGATTGTTTACTTATTTGTAGCAGGATAGCAAGACCTTTCTCCTATTGTTTGCAAGCTTTAGCCAGCAGATGAGAAATAAAAGCAACTTAAAATTAATTCTTGTACCAAGCTCATTTATGGCTGAATTAAATTACAGCTTCAGAAATGAACGTCAGAATTAGATTGCACTGTGCTTCATTGGCACTGTTGTTTCAAAATTTATGGTGTTAGGCCTGTTCATTTAGACACACGGACCTCTCCTTCACCAGACAAGTCATTGAGCCACACTGACAAATTTCTACGGATTGGCTTATTTAGATAAAGGGCAGTGGTGAATGCTCTGTTCTATCACAGACGAACATGTTTTTGTGAAAAAAATATAAAACTAAATGCATAGTCTGTTTTCAGTGTGGACGGATGTATGAAGTCTCCTTACACTGTTTTTTAAGAAGAGCTCTCGGTTCGTCTGTTGTTTGTGAAAATGGTTCCATGCTTTTTCTTCATGGCTTTTGCATGTGAGAACCTAGGACTAGTACTAATAAGCTTTTCAGCCTTTCAGCCTTTAATGAAGACATATTTTCCTACCAGAGGAGAATACTGGAATAAATAGCACAAAAATAAGAAAACATTTGCAGGTCATCACACTGGTTCCGTGTTTTAAAAAAAATATAGGCCAGAAACATTGTGGTCAGATTCATTGCAACCCATCCCTGGTAAAGTAATGAAAAAATACTCATTCAATTAAAAATGCCAGAATTAAAATTAAATGTTATTCATAAAAAAATGGTTCAGCTAGCTGAATCCATGGTGAGACAGTGACAGATATAATAAAAATCAGCCATGCTATGATTTTTTTTTCCTCTCAGAGAATTCATAATGTGTTTTTAATTAGAGGGAATCCAATTTTTAAAAATCACAGCATGTTTCTGCATAATCAGTCTGCCACTGCCTGGTCCACTATTGCCAGCATGATTTAAACATTAGAGGTGGGCCTGTGTCCCAGGGTCTCAAACTCCCAAGCCAGGGATAGCTTCAACTCCAACACTGCGGGTTTTCCTGGGGAAAAGGTACCCTCAAAATAAAAATAGTTGAGTACACTCTAAATGAGAAGGTCTAAATAATGGTCCAAAACACTACAACCACTGAAAGTTGTCAGGCTAAGAGCTGAAATGCATGGCTTATGTGCAAAGAACTTTAATTTTTTTTCCTCAAAACTGAAGGAGGGCAGGGATTCAATATTTTCTGTTAATCTTTTTTGAGATAAAAGTGACTTCTAAGAGTTTGGCTTCAGTTCTAAACTAGCAGTGAAGCAGACAAAAAGAAGTGAGAAGGGAAGTGTTTTCTAACAAAGCTACATAAAGCTGCCTTTGGAAAACTGTGCAGTGACACAGTGAGGTACATTGTAAAGTTAAGTGATTGAGTCAACTTCTTGGCTGCAAGATTCCAATCTGAAGGCAACTTACCTTGTTTTAGTTTCTGTGTTTCTGAAGCCATCAGGACTGTTTCCTACGAAAATACATAGGGTAAGGGAGACAACATGAACTGCACAGCCCCCTGCTCACGAAAGCTTCAGAGTATAGAGGCTTGTCTGACGACAGAAATAGCAGCTGCAAAATTATTTATATTCAAATAATCAATATTTAAGAAATGTTGAGATTTGCATCATAATACATAAAGTAATTTGGAATAGGTAAAAACAAATAAGGCTTGATTCTAAATTTTAATCTGTTTTCCCTTTTTTATTCTTGTTTACAGTTTAAACTCTTCTTGCTCCACAACTACATTTCTCCCATATCTATGTTTTCACAAGGGGAAGCATTAGACTTTAGACAGTTGTTGGACTCTGGGCTGGTGGTTCCCAAGCAAAGAAAATACCAAAGTCAAATCAGGGTTTATATCTCTTTGTTTAGAAAGTGCAGAATTAATGTTTCCAAGTGAGAATTTATATCCTACAGTCCTAAACAATTACTGTGATCCCCCAAATAATGTCATTTTATTAAAGATGTATAGATATGTACATACACAAATGCAAGAAAACTGTACTTAATAGATAACTTTAATAATTAAAGAATTAGATAATGTAACAGAGATCTTTTTCACAGGAGTGTTCCCATTTGCGTCAATGGTATAATTTGCTACAATAAGGGTTTAGAGGGTCAAGTCTCTATAACAACCCTCTGTGCTCCTTAGGTGTTATCCTCAGATAACATTATTCTCTAGCAACAGAAAGAAAATGCTATGTAGACAGGTAACCTAACCTGTTTCCAAGCAACCTGCCAAGTCCCTGACTGTTCGGGTGTGACATTTGACTACAGTTGCTTTCACACTTTGATTTATTCTGCTACTCTCACCATTGCCCTGTTTCCCCTGTGCAAAGTCCTGCAGACACATTAGCATGGAGACTGTCACGCTGCTTGTCCACTTGTCGCAGATGAGCTCTCAGCTGCTCAGTCGGCACCCTGAGACTGACCCCAACCAGGGTGGTGGCACTACATGGCACCTTCTGCATGGAAAACATGGCACTGGGATCTTCACTGCTGTAGCAGTTACTGCAGCAGGCACCACAAACTGCTAATTGTTACTGGGAAGATATATCCTTATTAAGACACCAAATGTTGAGCCTTCTGCAAATGTTTTAAAGTTATGCAAAATAACCTTCACCACAGTATAATATTGCTGCTATTATTATACTTCAGAAATTAATCAGTTTTACATATTTCCCCTAACAAATGTTTAAAGGAAGACTGAGACCAGACTGCAGGAATTGGCATTTCCCAGTAGCCACCAGTTAAGTGTCTTTTTTAGGCAATATTCTGTCTGTAAAACAGCAGTTTTACTATAAGAATTTATAACCTCTTTCTGATCAAAGTATTACAAAATCCTGATGTCGTTGGGGACTTTTGTCAGACAACACATATCAAGCTTTATTTTAGTTTTATTTTTTAGTAGTTTAACTCACAAATCAAAGAGGCATTTTCCTAAAAGCAAAGAGAAACATCTCCCTATTTGCAATGAGCAGCACATGAAGAAGATAGGAAAGCTCATCAGCAACATTTGAAAAAACATATTTAGGGTCAGCATCACAGACATTGGATCATTGGCTGTCTTTGCTAAAGAAAGGTTTCCCCAAGAACCTGTGTAGAGAATTAGATTTCTAGAAAAGAGTACCAAAGAGATTAGGTAAGAAATGAGATGTTAGTGGATGGAGCAGGGCTTTAGGCACCTCCGTATTTCTTCCCCAGGGTCTTCTCAGATGTGAACTTCTCCATGGAGTCACATGTCTGATGCAACGGGAGAGGATTTCAGAATAATTGGCAGATTCTTCTCAGTCAGAGAATGATCTTCCTTACCAGCAGAGAACCCTGAGCACCCGGTGACTGCTAGTCCTGGACTGAGAGCCAGGCTCTCTTCCTGCCAGGGCATTTCGACATGGTCTGAATAGCAAAACAGACTCTGAACCAGACAAAGAAGCATTGCAAACCTATTTGGTAGTGGCTAAGGTATCTGGGAAAATGTGATTCAAATCCCTGTTCCAGAGTGGCAAGTGGCCACTTGCCACTTCTTTTTTGGATCAGAGACACTGGGGAATTCCAGGGACTGGTAGAAGCACAAATATGTCCTGCTAAAAGTTGTTCTTGAATGAGGGCTTGAAGATGTTGCAGCTTGTCCTTTCTAATCAGCCACTGGTCCACTCAAACCAGCTTATCTGCTGTCCAGGTTAGGGCAGGGACCAGCTGCTGTTCAGTGGCCATTAGGACAAATTTGTAGTAAGATCAAGTCCCCATTGTCCCAAAGCATCTCGGCCCCACAATGTGATTGGCAGGTCCAAAACAAAGGAACAAACCGTAGCTAAACGTTTTTCAGGGCCTGTGATCACAATAGGATGAAGGCTTTGTTTTGGTGCTGTAACTCATGCCACTCCCCTCAGTGCTAGGACACTGTCCTGTGTCTAGGACACAGAAAATGAGAGAGAATTAAAGTAGTGAGGAGCCAACTCCAGTCACTCAGGAGCTTCAGACTTGAGGGGGCACCTTGGTGCACTGAGGGCACCTAGAAGTTGAGTAGCTGATGGTCAGCTTTAAAGCCTGATCCAAAGAGACTATATGGGAAAAAAAAAAGGACAGAATTACCTGTGTAGATGTACTGTGAATCCTCAGCAGTGTCATGACATGAATGATCATCTCTTGCAGGAGGAGTCTTGCTGCTTCCCGGGGTGACTTAAAGGAAAAGGTTCATCAAGGAGGGGAAGCAACTAAGGTGAGTCTAGAGGAAGCTGACTTCATCACCTGGTAAAATCTGTTCAGTCAACTCCCACCAGCACGCCCATCAAGTTGTAAGATGAAAATGTATTATGTGTAGTAGTACTACAATATCAGCATGATATTTCAAATAGCTTCCAATTAGCATAAATGTAAGGTTATCACAGAAACCTGTTGCTGTAAATCTTCACAATTTAGCATTTTAATGTTCTTCCTATTGCCTCCTATGAACAATGTGACACAGAACAGGCCTACAGTTGGGAGAAGATATCTCACCTGCTGTGCATGCACACTGAAACTGAGCTTCCACTGTCATGTCTCTGTGGTACACAAGAAGGAAATAAACCACCAGGAAATAGTAACGCTGACTTTCAGAGGAAGAAATGCAGCATGAAGCCACGAAGTTTTGCTGGAATTGCATAAGCTGGATCTAGAGCTGTGTGAAGCTCACAACTTTAGTCTCCCTATGCTTCAGCAAATTCTGCCAAAGTAGGCTGGTTTGCTTTGCTTGATTTCTCACCAATGAATTTTAGATTTTTGTGTGCTGGAAAATCAGAGCTGGTGCTGAACCTAGGCAGATTTTGCCATGTCCTCTTTTCCCTTGCACATTATCAGCACACAGTCAATCTGCTGTCTCTGATAGTGGGAACAGTAGTACCATGTACGTTCAGAATCATCACATAAAATGTTTCAAAAGCAAACAAGGAAAAAGACCTAGTGCTGACTTAATATGACCTATTGCCACAGTCCTTCCAAGGTCACTTACCTGTGCCTAGAGAGAGAATACATGATTTTTTCCTGATGAAGGACCTATATGGCTGGTGGGATCTTGCAAACTGCAGATCCATGCCCACCAGCCACGAGCTTTGCTTTGTAAATACATTGCTCCAATCTACCAAACAGCAGGCCATGGTTATTTTTTTCAGTTTGGGTGGGATAGAATTGCCTGTACACAGAGCTGTGCCAGGGTAACAGAAGGTGCAATATTGTGTGCTTAGTTAAATTTTTGCATGGAAATTCATGTAATCATTTAAACCAGAGTTATGCTGGCTCACATTAGGCTGGATCAGGTGAAATTACCGTCAATGCCAACTCACTCCATTGCACTGCTTTAACAGAGTTCTTTCAGATTAACTCCTTGTGGCTTCTATGTTTAGAGAATCTTTTCTCAGAAACTCCTAGTCTGGCTCTCTAAGCCAAAAATATGACTGGAGACTGTCACAAGTGAGACACAGTGGCTGGTGTAACACAGTGTTCTGACATGACTGTTAATTAGGTAGGTTCACCACGTCTCCTGGAACAACACCATTCCATGTTCAGTGATTAGCACAGCTATAGCCTGAAGTGCAGACTTCTGCTTTCCCAACATAGACTTTTGATCCACCTATTCTTCATGTCCCACACTCACAGCCCTGTATGACCAAGAAGGTGCTTTTGGAAGAACATTCTGTCTCCCAGCAGTTGCCTATGCACAAGTACTGTGGTTACCAGCCTGTTACAGCAGTGCCAGTAACTAATGGCATTTCAAATCTTCATGGTACTTTTTGTCAAATGACTACATCATGCATTTGGCACATGCAAAAAGTACTGTTCAGTGAGAGATGTAACCACAGGAAAGAACATTTTTAAAAGAATGTTTATGTTTTGTAAAAATTAAAGAAAGTATATGACATTTTCCTGGATCTATAAAGAACAGGAAGTAGGATAAAGTATTGTGCCAATAACAATGTCAAAATCCTGTAGGAAAATGCACATGAAAGCTCAACTTTATCAAATAATTCATATTTCAAATTTTCTGGCTTAAGATGTATCATTTGTGCAAAAGTGAACAATTATTATTTCCCTCTTTTTCTGAAAATTAAAATCCAAAAGATGTTTACAGGTAAGTTTTCCTACATCTTTGCTATGGAACTGAATCCATTGATTATATTAAATGCAATATCCTGGCCACTCTCCCACAGTGTAGAAAGCAATTCAGATAATGCTTCCTTGAACATTTAGCAGCTGGCAATTTCTGGCTGCAGACTACCTGCCAAGAAGACACTGTGCATACAAACAAAATAGACAGCATTATACACCTACTTACATGTGCACACAGAACAGGTCATGTTTATCCCTACATTAATACCAGTATTCACAGTGAAGCATCTTCACTAGGAAATTGCTTTAGCAATAAATTTGCCTCTATTACTGACTTTGCAGAATATGTTTTTTGGAGGATGAGCAGTAGCTTCCAGTATCTCTGTCTATTGTGAGTACAGCAATAAAAAGAATTGATCAGATGAGTACTGAAAATACAGTTTAAATGTAGCACAAGTTTCTACCTTGACAGTTCCAGCAATATAGACAGGACAGATGCATTCTGTCTGTCTGATCATCCTTAGGATAGGGATCTCCTAGTGGCATTCTGGTGGGAGCAAGAAGTAATTACAATTGCACTTGTTCTACAATGGTAGTTTGCTTATTACTCCTTTTTACCCCACGCTGAGAACAGAGCTTGCAAGATCACAGCAAAGCAGTGCTGTAGCTCCACAGTAGGCATTAAAAGGCCATATAAGTATACAGGGAATTGTCATGTAGTGCAGTGAATACAAAACTGAAGCAGCTATAAGTTGAAAGGTGCCTAAGGAAGGAAAAAGAATTCAACATGGAGAAATGTAAAATTTAACCCTTGAGCTTAGCTAACTTTCTGAGATGATACCAAGTCTCTCCTTTGGTGGAATGCCCCACTGATGGAGAGATCTTCCTGACGTGGCTTTGTGGTGAAGGCAGTCCAGTCCAGAGTCACATCTTACCAAATTATTTCTTAGTGTTCAGCAATGTTCTCAATTTACAGTTCTCAGGACCCTGGATCAAGGCTAAACTGTGGTGGAAAATGTGCTCCAGAAGTGGTGGTGGAAGTCATTGCACCTGAGTATCTGACTACCCTGGTTACTGCTCCCAGACAGCCCAGGATAAGTGTATTTGATTGTCAAGTTTTACTCTGCCCTTGGAAAAAGCAGCTTGCATGTGTGTACAGTGCTGCAGTTCCTGGTCTGGCATGGGTGTGAGGGGTTCTCCCCTGCCTGATCCATCCTCTGGCACGGCTGGTTACCACAGGATCCAGCCAGCTCTGGGACTGTGTTTCTTTGACACAGAAATATTAACAAAGTCCTGGGTCTCCTTGGCACTTTCCCCACCACCTTGACATACACTAGGCTAGGGATGCTTAAAACTGCAACAAATTGCTGTCAATAATAATTAAAAAATGAGTTAATTAAATGCATGGTATGAATGAGAAATAAGATCAGGGATGACACTTAGACCAGGAGGCCTTTTTCAGCCTGTGGAAAAAAATAGAACACAGTTATTTTTCCCACAGCCTGGAGAAGGCCTCATGTCCTAAATGTCATCTCTAATCTTGTTTTCTATTTCTAGTGTATATTACACTGCTCTGCCAGTGCTGCTATAGTTAAAGTGGTGTCAGTGTTTCCAGTAGAAACCCCTATTTTCAGAGGTTTGTAACTCAACCATAAAAATTTTACTCTGGGCTGAAACTTAGAAAACAAGTTCTAGAAGTGAAACATATTTAATTTTTTTTTGTCCTACTATTAAAAAAACAAATCACATTTTAAAGACAAAATTTTGCAACCCATTAGGCTATAAGAGAAACACATAATGTGTAAAGTTTAAAATTGCTCTGAAAGTACTATTAACAGCTTTTTGAGGTAATTCTAAGCATTTTATTCTTAATTTCAAATACAGATATACTACCGTGGCATTTTTTTTTTTTAAATGAATAGCCATACAAATATGTCATATCATTGGAGTTTTAAAACTGTGAGTAAATATTTATAACACTGGGTCAATAATCTGCATTTTATAAAGGCTCCTAAGTACACATTTACATCATAAAATGTAGCAACACTGAATCACAGATAAAAAAGTCAATAATGTGCTTTTAGAAAACTTCATAAATTTAGTTACACAGGTCAATAGTCTGCAAGTTTGGGTTTTTTTCACATGAAAAGAGCCTCTATTTAGCTAAGAAAACCTTATTCACGCAGAAATCTCAGATCAGGTTCATCCACCTTCCTTTCTTCCTGTGCTGTTGTAATGAGAGTTGTGTATCTAGTTTGGGAAAGGCAGGAAAGATGAGATAGATGGTGGTTGAGGTTTGCAGAGCACACTAAAAGGCTGTGAAAGAGTTATTTAAAGTGAGACAAAGGGGTTCTGGCAAGGATTGTGGTATTATCATGGAATTATGACTACTGGAAAATAACAACTAGGAAATCCTGCCAGATGACTGAGGAGCTGACAAACATGGGAAAACCCCATGATTTGGAATATGAGAAACAATACTGAAGCAAATAATAAAATATATATTTTACAGAGAAGTACCACGAAAAGTACAGCTTTAATCATTAAATGCACTTTGCACTTATTTTCTGTGCTGAAAGACATCAACATTTCCATAGACAAAAGACTTTGATTTTGCAATTGGATTTTCACCAGTGAATCCTATTGGAAAGTTTTCTGGAGGGGAATATCTGACTCAGAATGTACATATGAAGAGCAAGAGATTGCAGTAATTTTCTTCACTGAGATCTAAATAAAACCCATGAATGGTAATCACATTGGGATATTGCAGAATTAGCTCAAGGGGCAATCCAGAAGTGCTAATAAAATCAGATCATAAATTTCTCTTCATACCAAACTAGATGAAGACATCTTTGGTCTAAGGCATGTTTGTAACTATCTGTATATTCTATTCACCCCTAACACATAGATAATTATACTACAATTTAATAACAAGGAAGACAACTATCAATACTCTTTTTCACAGTCTGGCTTGAATTTTGCTGTAAATTCTAGTATTAGCCTTGCTTCAGGTATTGTCCCTAATTTATTTATTACAGATGACAATTTTCTAATAATGTTTCACTTCAGTTCATACCTTTAGTTTTATAACTCCAATTTAAACATTACAAGGCATGATTTTATAATCCCTAGAATAAAGTCCATTAAAGTCACTAAATCACTTGAAACCTGGTCCAAATCCTGCTGAGGTAAAGGGCTTTCTTGCAGTTAATTAATTTGGAATGATGTTTTACTCCTCCTAAAACTCCAATAAAATTTCCATTAATGTTTATGGAAATTCCAAGCATATATTCCCTTTATTTAAATGCCTAAATCATCCTTCTTATCTTATAATTTAAGATATAGATTCCTCATATATAATTTGTGATAAGTTTTATTCAACATAAAGATTTCAGTGTCTTTGCACTGACAGGTAGAGTGTAAAGATTACTCTGATTGTCCACTTCCTTACTCCCTAAGGTGTCCCATTAACTTTAGTGAATCTCCATTAATTTTAGTGAAGCTCCTGGAATAAGGTACAACATGGACAGTGATATCAGAATCTGATCCTTGATTGTCATCTTAAAAAAAACCAAAAAGATGTTATTCTTCTAGCCATCTATTAAAGGAATACTTATTTAATGTCAGCTGCATTTCTGACTCTTACAGGAAATGTTACATCTATTTCATAACTGACATGACTTGTAAATGTATAAGTGGGTAGCTACTGAAAGGCCACAGAGGCTATTTTGGAAAATGTGACTGAAAGCATATTTTCTTTGAGAAAAGAGGAATGGAAGACTCTAATCCTAAAATAGTACAGAGTGGAAAAAAAATCTGGGGGATATCAATGTTTTAATATGCTAAAACGCAGGAAAGTATGCATGCTGTGGCCTAAATTCCCATCACCTTTCTCATGCAAGAAACATCACTGGGTTTAGAGGGACCAAATTTTTCAATCCTTTCATCTTTTTTTAATATCTTATTCATAGTTACAGTCTCAGTGCTATGCAGTATTCAGTTTAATTACTGCAGCTTTTAAGAGGAACCTCTCAGTCTTTCAACATTTAAGCATTTAGTTGTTTAAAATCATGATTGTTGCTTTGCCAAAAGAGAGGAGACAAATCTGGGCTCAGAAAGAAGATGGACTCCTCCAAACACACAGTAAACACTCAGCAAGTGAAAAGGCACATGACAGCACATTTTGTTAAGAAATTTACAGCAGGTGACCTGCCCCTTTCCATGATGGCAGCAACTGTATTATTCACTCCACGTAATGAATTGGGAGGTTACGCTAATCTGAAGAGGGAAGCTATCAATTGTATATGTCCAGACCATCTCTCCCATTGATTTTGTAATTAATGATGAATGTAGATTTTGGAAGGGAGAGATTGCTGAGGAGAGAACTTCACATGCAGAATAAAAATGTTACAGTAGCCTAATTAATTACGTATGGTTGACAAATGGGTGTGGGATGACACAACAAAGTACTGTGCTTTAGTAGCGGTCAAAGAGTCACAGAGAAGATGTCACATGATATCTATATTAATCTTTCCACAGGGTAAATGTGATCCATTGCATCAGCAGGACCATGAGCAAACTGTTTGGTATCTCAAAATCATGCATCTTTGCTGCTAACTTGAAACCTGTTTGCTTTGTTCACAGATAAAAACAGTGTAATAATCCACTAGATGCCAAGAAGATAATTTGTCATTTTGATCCTTGTAACAGGCTTCAAAGCCATGTAGAATATCATTTTAGGTAATAAACAGTGGACTTTGGACATAAACTTAACCAATCTTAAGTGTCAGGAGAAGAGGTTATGCCTCTGGAAATAGGTAATACATCCTCTCTTTGGATGCAGTCTGTGCAGAGGTTCATCTCTCAGTTCCCATTAAAGGCCTTCCAGCCTCTCACTGTAGCAACAGTTGCCACAGGGTGAAGTGACAATACATATAACCCACATAAATATTCAGCTTTAGCTACACAGTGACATTTGGGTGGACAATATAAACAGTAAGTTGTACCATTCCTTCCCAACCAAATCTAGAAGCCTGCTGCAAAAATGCAGCACTTGATTCCCCAAGTCTAACTCACAAGTATGACCACTCCCTACATACAGCTCTCACAACTTGACTGTAACTATTCCTAAAAATGACAAAGGTTAGTGTAACAAGGTCATGTCTAGGACCACATGTGTTCTCCTTACTTTTAGGTGGGCTGAAGTGCTTATGTTTCTCTGTGTTTATGTTTATTGATGTATAACATGTAAAAATTTCATTTTATTTCCCTCTTTTGACTTCCTTGGAAATACAAAGCAAAACAAGACTTTGGAGTCACTCAGAAACACACATGGGTGAGAAATCTGTCAGTTCTTAACTGAAAGACTGTAAGTGCTGAATTCCTACAAACAGCCCTTACTTTCCTATGATGGTTCCGCAAATTCAGTTTTGTGACAAAAGCTCAAAAGCAAAGACATTCTCATCTAGGCAAGACTGACTTACTGAAGGGACTTTTGCCTCAGTGCAAATTAAAATCAAACTCATCATACTGTGAAGAGGAGAAATCACTTGTTTCAGCATAAATCAAGTTAACTTACCTGATATCTATAGTATCCTAAAAAGATCCATTCTCATGTGATTCACAGATTCAGAGGACTTGCACTGCTAAGGTAAAACTGAAGAAGATGCATAATGATCCTCAATCACTGTACTGTTCACCTCTGCATATTACAAATACAGCAGAAAAGCACATATCTGGAGGTTTAGTGCTGTGAGGCTTTCGGGGGTAGTTTGAGGGGGTGGTGTGTGTTAGAGACTCCCATTCCAGCCAGCTGTACCATGTCTCTGCCAAACGTGGAAAGCAAAGCAATGACATGTACATCTACCACCATACAAACATGCTCGTCAGTGAGTTCCTGTGGGGAAACCACACACCCTGGAAACACTTTAAGTTAGGAGATCAGATCTGAGGGAACCCCATCAAACAGTGATCTTTCTCCAGTTGTAGTGCTTTGCTCTACACAAAGGTCATAGAAGGCAGCTCTGTGACTCCATCATGGTTTAGGTTTTGTGTGCCTTATGACAATGTCACATAGGCTCAGTTCAGCAAAATGTAACATTGCTTTATTCTACTTGTTATCTCCAGCTAGGCACCAGTAATTTTCTAATTATAGGCAGGTAGATTCCTGAAAAGGTATTTCTATCTACTAGGAGGATATACAAATAGTATCAGTGATTCTTATCAGTGAATCTAGTTGGAAATGTTATTCATTTCAGTATTTAAGAATAGGTTTTCCAATGTGTAAAAGTCAAAGAGAGCAATTTGTATTCACTCAAGGACTTGAATTAAGCTGCATGTTTGTGGGCTGAAGCTGAATGGGAACTGAAATGTTTTGTGGCTTCCACTGTCCTGATTCTGAAACACATGAATGGTTTCATTGGACACAGGTAGTTTGGGTAATGTGGGTGTTTTTAGTTTGAAATCTGCCTTTCTTAAAGTACTTTGTTAGAATACTGATATCCCTGTTTCCCAGCAGGGCAGGGAAAGAAATACAGAAAGAAAGCCTAAATGTCATACTAAAATTTAGAAGCCTGGAAGGCAGGAGACAGACCGTTACAGGATCAAACTCTAGAAAAATCTTTACCTGTTGCTCAAAAGTACAAACTACAGTGTACAGCAAAGAAATTTAAGATGGTTGTCCTTTATTTGCATGAATATTTGTCCTGTGAGGTAGTATAACAACAGCTACAGGATTTATTTTTGTAACGGAGACTAATATCCAAATTCAACTTTGGAAAGGAAGAAATCATAAAACAGACAAGATAAATACCACTATAAGGAAGAAGGAACTGTAATTATTTCACATGGAAATTTGGGCATGGGTGGAAGGAATTTGTAATTTTTTTTTTCAGTTTTATTCCTTGAGCCATTGCATAAAAAAACTCCTACAAGATTTTAGTGCCTGCCTCAGTCCTATCTCTATGGAGAAAGTTTGTAAACCTTTGTTTAAGTGTTTCATAAGAGCTCTGTGCTATTTTGGTTTCCTTAACAACATGTTTATTAAGTTACTCAAATCCATTCTTGACTTCTGAATTAAACACAGAAGTGAACTCTTCAGGAGTCCCAGCTTTCCCCTACAACTGATTTCAAGCTTGGGATGCGGTGTCTGAGGTTAATTCTCCAGTGGGTCCTGGCACTTAAGAAAAGGACCTGAGCACATTTCAGAGAAGGGGTAAAAGTCAGGGCCAAGGCAACTACTCCAGGTAATACTTTATGGTGGGCTAAGGAATCTTTGGGAAGGTGGTTGGAATATTCCCTGCACTTTTCTTTTATGATAACACTTTATTGGCATCAAGTACAGCCAACTGACACCACCATTAAAATAAAACAAACAAACAAATAAAAAACCCAACAAACCCCCAAAACAATAGATTGGGCCTTTTAAAAATGTTTTAGCCTCCCCTTGACACCTTGAATATAAGTGTCAAGTATCGTCCAGACATTTTATTTTGTTGGTGTTTTGATACACTCTTTACTTTTCAAGACTGGGCGCTTTTCCAAAAGCTACATTCCACTTGTGGCTTGGATAATTTTCTGAATCACTGGGACCCATTTTATTCATAGAGTCAGAGCTGATGATTATAGTCATCTCTTCTGATCTTAAAAGCTAGGCAAGCAATCCTATGCTAGCCAAGAAATCATAATGTTTCAAGTGGTAGAATTCTTTTTAATGAAATATCTCAGTAATCTGTAATTTTCCTAACGCATCAATGACAATCAGAACCGAATGGAAGTTCCCTCTGTCTTTTTTTAAAGCACATCCCCTCTAATAATGTATTTTGTATCATGGCAGATAGGTCTTCCCTTAGGACAGGCAGTTTCCAACTGGAATGCCATAAGTCAAATCACTTTGATTTATTTTGTATAATTTAATTATTTTTGGTTGTTTTTTTCTTTCAGCTAGGTAAGTTTTTGAGACATTTTCATTTCTGTGTTCAAGATGTAAAGAATCACACTTAGAAATTACAATCAATTCATTCTATCTGGTGATTGTGGGTTTTTATGATTCCAGTGTCAATTTTTTTTCAGAACATTTCTCAACTCACCACATGGAAACGAGCACCTCTTACCATAAACCTTTCCATGTCTCTATCCATAGCCCTTAACATTTGTAACATACCTAAAATTTCTGAAGTTGAGCTTTTAAACCACTAAAAATGCAGAAATTAACAAACATTAATTAACAAGAACTATACAAATTCTGTATACCTGGTCACACCCATATCTAAAGTTATTTAACAATGAAATGGAACATAATAGCTATATTTTTCATGTTATTTCACATCAAACAATTAACATTCTGGATTCTAAAATATCAATTAAAAAACCCACAAATCCTTATTTTTCATACCCTTAAAACATATAATGAAAAAAAATCTGCATATGCAGGAAAATAAGATATGAAGAGATTTAATTCTGCTCAGTTTAACTCAGTCTGAATAATTTTGAAGCTAAAGGGATTAATTAAAAAGCAATTCCTCCATGACACACATACAAAATGCATTTTCTCTTTCTTCAGGTGAAGTGAAGCAGTTTTCCTTGACTATAATATTGATGGTACTAAAAAAGTAAAAGATACAGAATAAAAAGAAGTTTTCTTCCACACACACACAAAAAAAGGACAACCATGTATATGTATTTGTGTATGTATATAAGTGCCACATATAAGAAAAGAGATTGTACAGAGAAACCATGAAAAAGTATAAATCCATCTGCTCTACAACAGCTCAAATACAGCTGATGAAATTCCTGCATTTCTTTTCTAGGGAAAAATTGCAATGTTTTGAAATTTCCTTTCGTCCTAAATCATAATTTGACCTCAAATTTCATAATACCCTTCAGCATAGAAAATATAAGAAAATCTATATTAGGTAATACTGAAATTAGTTTTGAAATTAACACATCATAATTAATATCAGAAAATAAATTTTGAATCTACTGATGTGAAAACCTCTAGATCTTTTTTTTGTATATGTCAAATCAGTACATTATAGTGAAACCTTTCCAGGATGATATAAAATTATTTAATGTACATGGATGTAGTCATCACATTTGTGCATATAATTGGAAGTCCTTCTGCTAGAAAATTTAAAAATTGGTTTGCTTGATGTTTACCAATCCCACATTAGATCTCATAAAATAATCCTCTTTTACTGGGACAATGATATTGTGAGATATTATGAGTCCAAAACATTATGAGTGTAGGAGAACCCAAGCTTTGGCAGCATAGTCTTATCCTCCACCATCCAGATCATCAGAAACTTGGGAGCACAAGAAGGTATCTGTTCTTGTATTTCCTCTCTGGAGCAACCAGGAAGGACTCAGTCACTCATAGGGCAAGAGAGCTTTTGTGTACAAGCAGCTGAACTAGTGAAAATGAGTTTTAATTTGCTGCCAATGCTCAGCTGCACAGCCACGTCTGTGCTGCTTCCTCTGAACCACAATAGCAACGCTGCTTCCATCACTGCCAGCACAGCCCCTGCACCAGTAGTACAGTTTACACGCTGTCCTTTCTTCAGATTTGTACTTTAAAAAGTCAATTTTCATTCTGCTATAGCAGAATATTGCTATAAATTAGGAAGTCACTGGTGAGCAATCAGAGCTGATCTTCCTACAGCTTTGTGTAACCTAATTTGTAACTTCATTTTTGCAGATGCTAGACTTCTATTCTTCTTCTGTCTATCTAGGAGCTACAAGAAATAAATTCACAATGAAGGAAATACTATCACAATTTCTGATAGCTTTTCCTCATGGTCAATACAAACGATTTTTTGATTTGTTCTGGGATATGTAAGACTCTGGGTCTCACAGATCTGTCAACCATTACAGTTGCTTTCTGCAGCTTTGCCCAACACAGCAGAGATTTCTCATTTTTTAGAGCATAGTTTAAAATTGTGCTTTTTCTGGCAAGGCAGGTTTAGTCAGTTAAGAACCAGGTGATCATCTGGTGGCTAATCAACAGATACATATCACTGCATAAAAGAATGGGAAAGAAAGAAAAGTGTCTCACCTCCACAGCCATTAGTACACAGCCCAAATCTCTCCCGACACCAGTGAGGCACATGATGAGTGTTAGAATACTGAGAGCCACAGCTGATCACACCAAATGTCCACCGAGCCCAGGATTTGTCTCCAGCAGGGTTTCTAAGAGCAGGGAAAAGCAGAAAGAAGACATGTATGCATGGCAGTCCCCACAGGTCATCTCACAGAACAACTATTTTTAACTGCACCTATTTTCTGAGTGGTTGCAGTTTCTGCAATTTAATAATTGTTACTAAATTTCTCATCCATAGAGTTGTGCAGCCTCCCCTTGAACTCATGTAAACTTAGACCAGCCCCCATGCCCTTTGGAAAAAGCTACACATCTAGTGTCTTCTGCACAAAGAACTTCATTCAATGGTCCTGAGCTTTTTCATTGGGAGAGACAGCAAAAATCCAACTTTGCCCATTCTGCTCATCAATTTATAAGTCTATCAATTGCCTTTTAAACTGAGCAGTCTGAGTGTATGCAGACTGCTCCTGCTGTGGAAGTAGTTCCACCCTTTTTGGACTCCTGTGAACATCTCCCAGTTGTACTATATTCTATTTGAGATGAAAGTACACTCTTCAACACGTGGGTGAGCACTGATTCACAGAGTTGCTCTCTAGTTTTTTTTCTCATTTAACATTTGGTTAACGTTTTGGCTGCCTCTCAGCACTGAGACAATGTTTTCATGGAACAAACTATTATAATCCCAGGATTGTGATCCTGAGTCATAATGGTCAGCTCAGAGTCTGTAATTTTTTATGTGAATTTAGGATTCGTTTTTCCCACACACATCAGTTTAGATCTACGCATATTAAATTTTATTTGCCTACACAGTCTCCTGAGGTACTTCTGTGCTTCCTCATGGGTGATCTTCACGTTTACTACCCTGAATAACCAACTTCCTATTATCCTCAAACTTTCTCACCTCTGTTCATCTACTTGTCCCAGGAGTTTATGGTACGTTTACCAGGACAGACCTCAGCACAGATTCTGCAGAACCCCAGCAATGAGATCCATTGTGTATTTTCTTGGTTTCCCTTAAAGGTCTTTGGCACTGGACTTTATCAAAAGTCTTTCAGAAATACAAGTATAGCAACTATCTCACCCTTATTCACTTCCTTGTCAACCTCTTCAAAGACCTCCGACGGATTTGTAAAGCACAGGTTACATTCCATCAAAGTCAACCATGGTATGAATAGTTTTCATTTCCTTTTCATTTTAGTCAACACAATCAGATAACAGTCAGTGGATCACAGTCTAAATGTAAGTGGAAGCATCTCTGCTTATTTAACAGATTGTGCTCATTTCAGCTGAGACAAGACTGGGTTGCTGAAGTACCAGCTGCTTATGGGCTTCTGCTGAATCTGATTTGCTCACTGGAGATCTGTAGGCATAGCCATGGGGACCCTGAGAGCTACAGCTGACTGTGTGAGAGGGACTGCCATCTAGGGTGCTGTAAAAGGCCTAAGGAGAGTTGGAAGCTCATTAGCAGCCCCCAGTTCCCCAAGTTTCCCTGGGAATCTCAATCCAATGAAGTTATAGATAGGAGATACTAAATGAGGATCACACTGACATGGAGAACTAGGGAAGTGCTGAATTTCCTATATCCATCATGTCCTTGTTTCAGGGAGATGTCACATCCTGCTGCTCAGGACAAGCACACCAGCAAGGGCAAAATGACAGAACAACTCATATTTCTGTTATTCCAGGAATATTTGCCTCTGTCCTCTCTGTAAGTTCTGTAAACATCCAGCTATGACAGGGAAAAAGAACACATGATCTACAGTCTTCATAGCTGCAAGAGCTTTCAGTCACAGTTGGGCATTTCTGTATATCCCTTTTTCTATTGAAAAGTAAATGTCAAAGAAAAAAATTATCCTTTTCTATCCCTTCCCCACCCTTCTCCCTCCCCCCATGCTATGAACTATATGTTCATTTATAATAACATGGAAGAAAATGGATGCAAAATTTTAAATAAAAGTGAAACAGGAGGACAGATCTTGCAGAACGGGAGCTTAGCAAACAGGAATGTGATCTCTGCAATTCACTGTTCTGAGAACATTAACAATAAATTAAAAAAATACTTCCAGGAATAAGCCAGAGGTTGTGCTGGTATCAATCATGTTTCTGTGGAGCATAGGTACAATGCAAAGAGCACTGCAGAGAGCAGTAAACAGATGGGCTTCCACTCCACCACATGTTTTACTGAGTATTTGTGCACTCATATTATCAAAAAGGAGGAGAAAAAAAAGATCTTTTGCTCTTATTTTTTACCAATGTAATACCTTTTATGGAACATGGGTTTGTTTCTCTTTGTCCTTCTGTTTTATAGAGGGACATGAATTATGGATTCTGAAAAGGAATAAATAAAAAGAAGTATAAAAGCAAATGTGGCTAAGGACTCCAATTTTCTAAAATTTAATTATTAGCAGTAAATAGCTGCCTTTTAAGAGTAGCCCTAATTGGCTATTACCAACAGTAGCTAACAATTTCAAGGCAATTAATATTTTAAAATAATGAGATGGCTAATATATTACATTATAGCATACAGTAAGCAGAAGTCTTGCTAATTATATATATTATTCTCCCTACTTTGCTTAATGAAGGTGTCTGGCTTGTAGATTAATTCATTCTTGCTTTATTTTTTATTTTTTTAATCAGTGTAACTAATCCTCCCACACACTGTTGTAGCATTAAAGCAGAAAGATGTGAATGAAGCAGTGAAAGAAGCACAAAAAAAAAGAATATTAAAATGAAGATTTAGTTCCAAGTTTCAGAAGCAGTTGCCCTAAGTAAAGAATTAAGATGTGGGAAATTAGACAGAAAATGCAGAAGCCTGAGTCAACATTTATTTAACACCTTCTGCCTAATGCTGAAAATGTAAATCTTCACAGAGGTAATCACACCCAGATCATTCTGATCCTCAGAACATAGCAATTCTTCTGACAAAGATATTACCACTGCACAGTTTAAATGATTGTTTTTCCCATTTTCTCAAAAGCAGAGAGAGGAGGGGGCTTGGAGAGATGGAGATTTCCTCCAAATTGGGAGCTAATCTTTCAGGAAAGAATAGCAACGAATGAATTATTTACAGTCAAAATCTTCTCATTTGTATAAGTCTACTACATTTTGCTCTCAAATATTTGAGCGTGTCTGTGTGCTCAGTTTGCTGCTGTGACTGTACAAGAGAATTACCTTCACCAAAAGCCAGAATATACAAGTTTTCCTGTGCTGTGTACCAGAAACACAGTGCATTGTACACTTTACCCCTGGGCTCAAGAAACAATTCCAAACTCCCTGGGAAAATGATCCCTGTTTTGGAGAGAGGAAAGTAGAGGAAGCACTTCCTTTGGCACACCCCCATGAGACACAGGGCACTATTGTGTCCTGAGCTCAGCCCTGCACACCCCATGTACACACACACACAGACACACACATGGATCACACAGTCCCACACCAGGGCTCGGGGGCTCTGCCCAAACTCTGAGAAAACCCTTTTCTGATTTCTTAGTGAAGCCCAAGCAGTACTGAATACCTAAAACATCACAACAGCATGAGGAAATGTGAGGTCAAACTCCACTTACTCACCCTACTGCATCTCCTACATGTATGAAGTCCTCTTTAGGATCCAGTAGGGGCTGTTAGTCAGCACAAAAACAACTGCTCAGTAAACAGGACAAAATCACAAAAGGAACTGTTTCAGTGTGGCAAATGTCTCTCAAACATCAAACCAAAGTCATATTTTAGCCGTGAGCTCGATGGTAACTTATGGACAAATGGAATGGTGATAAAAGTTACCTGTACTATGAAACATAAAAGAAAGCCTTTACGCCAACAACACCTTATTAGATTTGTGCATTTGAGACACAACACAGCACAGTAAATGATGATGTCTGCTAAATGAGCATATTTATTTGTAAGCACTCAGAAGACACGCAGGCTCATCCCAACACCAGCATGCCCCTTAATTAAACATACAGCAGTGAGTATGGGTTCCCCGTTATGCACACAGCAACAGTTCACACACAGATTGCAATTTGTACACACTTACTCTCTTTTGTCCTAGACCATACCCATCAGACACATAACAGCATCTTTATCTCCTGTGTTTGCACCATGTGAAGGAGGAAGTAGTCTTTTTCCAAGACTGAGATTTCTCAAAATACTGTTCTTCCACTTTTGTTTTTCATATTGTAACCCTCATAATGGATGTTGCCTCTTGGAAACCAAGACTCGAGTAGGGACATATGAGGCAGGTTAATAATAAGTGAATACATAAATACATCCCAAGTCTTTGAACATGATTTTATAGTTTTGTTTCTGTAGTTGCTAGTGCACAAATAGATGCAACCTGTTGAGGTTCTCTCACTGTTGTGAAAAATCTTGGTACTCAGGTCTTGAGCTGCTCAAAGTATTTTTTCATGTAATGCTATGTAGCAGACAACCAATTACTTTTCTGATCAGAAATCCAAATGATAGTAAATAATACTGTAAAAGGCATTTAAGAGGAAAATTTACACGTAAATTCCCTTGCAACTTCTGTAGCAGTTTCTCCTGGATACTAATTTGTCTAAGACCTTTTTCTGATTTCAAGTCCCTGGAGAACACGAGACTAACATGAGACATTTAACATATGCATCTACTTATCAAAAAATAAATATATTACCAGTTTGTTGGAATATGTTGCAGTACGTACCCTGCAGCAGAGATAAAGACCAACCTTGGCCCACAGATCACATGATAGCTCAACAAACTGTTGCTTTGTACCTTATCTGTCTTTGGTACCCACACATGGTGCCTGAGCTTCAAGCCAGCTCCATAACTTTTCAACCATTACAGAAAATAAATTAAAAAAAGAGCAGTACAGGCTTGAGGCAAGTATTCAATTGTCATTAGAATGCGCAGCACCTCCCTCCAGTAAAATAACCCTGCTTTAATATTCAGTCTCATTATGGTCCTTTGAGAACTGATGTGACAATGGGAGAGGGGATAAAAGAGCTTAGATATACAATTATAGATATACACACACTTGTGTGTAGGATATCCGTCTGTCTCTATATCCTACTCCCAAAATGGGTAGAATCCAGTGAAGATGCTAAAAGATGGATAAAATGTCCTTT